ATGTAAATTTTGAGTAATGAACATGATTTCAAAAATGAATTCGAAAAATGCTTTATTGATTTTTGGAAAGCCCGAAATTTCTTTACAATCAAAGTTGGGCGTTATATACGGATTAAAATTTATGGCTATATGGTTGATCTTCCAGATGGTCGTACACAACATACGTGTTGACCAGTATCACACGAACGGGATGGTGGAGCTGGTCGTGTTGATCGAGTCATGTCGAGGGCCAGATCGGATCGTCGGGCGTCGCGGGTCGTTGCTTTGGTTCCTAACCTCCTCCATGTTTTCTGTGAAGGAGATGGAACTACTGCCCTCTGTACTTCAGCATTTCTGTTGGTTATAACTGTAAGCTACCACTGTTGGTCCTCCATCTCTGTGCACATATCAGCTTTGAAGATCGACTCTTGTTTACCTTGGCCTATGTGTTCAGACATTTCTTGATCATTTTTGGAAACTCTTCCCTGAACAACTCCCACTGAGTTGCCTATATCTTTCCTGGATGAGCTTGATTCCACTAAACTCAAGTTTTTGTTGATCATCCCTTCTCTGGTTTCCCTCTCTATCTCTGTGCACTTAACCATGCCTTGCTGATTGCTAACCTCCTTAGGTTGCTCTTCAGGATTATAGGTCTGTGTCTCAGGTTGACTGTGCTCCTTCACTGAAGATTGATTGGTCTGTCCTGAGTTACTGTAAGTTTTAATTTCCCCTGCCTTTAACTAGTCACCATACTGCCCTACCTTAAACTCCCCATTGGCAATGTCCTGCTCCTTGGTTTTACAGTCTCTGTCCAAGTGGCCCAGAAAGCCACAATAATTGCATAAATTAACCAATCTCTCGTATCTAAAACTCACAGTTGTTATCTGATCTCCCAATCTCAGAGTGGTGCATCGTGGTAAAGGTTATGGTGATATCAACTGAGACCAAAAGTCTGATAATCCTTCCCCCTACTTTCAATGTTGTAGTTATACTCACATTCTTAACCCTCCTGAATATTCCTCCTACTTTCAACCCTACCTCCATGCTCATCCATTATAAAGGAAGGTTATAGACATAGACCCACATATTCACTTCATCAAAACCACTGCCTGTCACCTTGATGCCCTTTCTCCATTCTTCGAGTACCAAGTATTGATTTTTGAAAATCCATTTTGTTCCCTAGAGTACTTTCTTCATGTTGCTTCTATTTTCAAAAATAAATTGAAAATAGTTAAAGCTTATTTCCCGCACCTCCATACCTTGCTGAGTTCTCCAGATGCTAGCCATTGTTCTCTTCAACCCCACCAAAGATGCCCTTCTGTTGCCAATCACTTTCCCCAGTATACTGTGCTTACATTCCTCCGCGCTTTCCTTGATGTCTGTGTTTGCAATGTCGATAACTTCACTTTCTACCCCATGTAGAGAGAAATTGTTAAGTCTGTTCGACATCTCCTCCTCAAACTCAGCCAAATCATCTTTGTCCCACATTCTCACAATACAAAGAAGAACCCAAAAACCCTAACTCAACCCCCAAACCACACCCTCAGAAGCTAATGCCCCAATCAAAAGATTAGAGAAGACCCCCTACCAGCAATACAAGAAACAACCCTCACTCGACGGAATGATTGACCCCTCCCTCGACGGAATGATTTAGCCCTCACTCGATGGAATATCGCTCTCACCCGAGGGAATTGGACAAAGATGATAGTGAACAAAGATTCAACCGTCATAATGTTTTCAAAAAGTATTAAATTGCAATTGATAAACATGTTTTGTAACTCATTTGTCCACAAATAATTAAAAAAATAATACATAATGACGTTGAGAAAATAAACCTCTGAAATAGATAAATGTTTAGTTTAAATCATGACCAGATAAATGAATTAAAAAACTAATATATTTTGTTGGCTTTGCATTACACGAATTTTTCATATTTATACATGCAGAATCTTGTTTATGTAGTTGTGACACTACATTCGTTAAAAAAATGGATACAAGTCATAAATTATTTTAATACATTAATATTAAAAAAAATAATTAGAAAACATAACATACAAACTTTTTGTAAAAATACAAAAAAATAATGAGAACTACAAGAATAATACATACAAACTTAGTTGAATAAAATATTAATAATAAGATAATACAATAAGAATAATAAAAAAGATTAATACATTATGATGTTGAAAAAAAAGGAAGTGAAATAGATAAATGTTCGATTTCAGTAAAAGGTTTGAGCAATGTATTAATTTTATTTATTTTTTAATATTTGTTGGCTTTTCATTACAAGATTTTTTAATATTTGTACATGTAAAATATATAAAAACTTAGTTATGTAGTTGTGCCTAGAGCTGCAAACAAACCGAACGTTCGCGAACAAAAGCTCGTTCGAGCTCGTTCGTGTTCGACAAAAGCTCGTTCTTTTATTAACCGAGTCGAATTCGAAGCAAAATTAGGCTCGTTTTTAACAATCGAACGAACACGAGCTTGTTCGTGAACGTTCGATTATGTTCGCGAACATTAATTTAATATAATTTTATTTAATTTTTTATATATTTTTAATAAAAAACTAAAATTTAATATAATTTTATTTATTTTTTATATATTTACATAATATTTTTAATAAAAAATCTAAAATATAAAAATAAATATATATTTTATTCTTTTCTTTTCGAGTTCGAAGGAGTTCGAACGAACAAATTTCGAGTTAATCAAACATATTTTAAAAGTTTATATATTATATTGTTCGAACAAGAACGAACTCGAACTTTGACGAACAATTAAACAAACAAACTCGAACACAATCTTTTGCTCGAAAAATAAACGAACGAACACGAACATTGTTCAAACATAAACGAACACGAGCTCGAACAGCCCAAGCTCGATTCGATTCGTTTACAGCACTATTTGTGCCAATACATACATTTAAAATATTGGATACCAATCATAAATTTTTAAAAAAATTATTATGACGTTGAAAAAAAACAATGAAATAGATAAATGTTTATAGTTGTTAAATAGAAAAAAAAAAAAAAAAAA